TTTTCCGAACCCAGCTTAAAATAAACCCTATTTAATTTTTTGTATTAAATAGGGGAACTTGTCGACAAATAAAATGGTTTCGCAGGCCCAAACGGATGTCATATCTTTCTTAGTTTATTTGATCGAGCCTCACCCTCAAGTCTTGTGTTTATCCCTTGGGATAGATACAGGATTTGAGGTTGAGTGCTCTTTCATTTAAACTATAGAAAATATGAGGTCAGTTTGATTTCATATTTTTCTAAAATTATATATATATACGTAAATTAAAAAGTCCTTCCGAAGCGGGCGACAGAATTTCGATTCCGGCGACCGACAGCTTCTTACGGGCGACCCCCAAACATTTAAAAAACTCTCTTTTCCCCCTTTTAAGCGCCGACAGGGTGTCAAATATGTAATACATAAGAATTGAGTGGAATGTATGTGACATGTAGTACATAAGCATTGAGTGGAATGCATGTATAAATTGAAAGTTAGACGTTATATATGTAATAAATATACAAGATTTGAGTTGTTTGCATGCAAAAATTGAAGTTTAAGTGTTAGATATGTAATACATAAGAATTAAGTGTACTGTACGTGAAATTTGTAGGTTAGATGTTAGATAGGTAATACAAAAATAAGATTTGAATTGTATGTATGAAGAAATTGGAGTTGAGCTGTTTGATTTGTAATACCTAAGAATTGAGTGGTGTATGTAAGAGATTGAAGGTTAGGTGTAAGATATGTACTACATAAGAGTTGAGTGGTTTGTATGTATGAAAATTGAAGTTTAGGTGTTAGATATGTATTACAAAAGAATTGAGATGTACATATGTAAAAAATTGAACGATAGATGTTAAATATGTAACAAATGTATTATAATTGAGTGGTATGTATGTAAAAATTAGATAAAGAATAATTTTCAGAAAGATATGTATTAGGTGTTTGATTTGTAATACATAAAAATGGAGTGGTGTATGTAAAAAATTGAAGGTTATATGTTAGAGATGTATTACATAAGAGTTGAGTGGTTTGTATGCAAAAAATTGAAGTTTAGGAGTTAGATATGTAATACATGAGAATTGAGTAGTATGTATGTAAAAACTGAAAATTACATGTTAGACGTGTAATACATACAAAAAAATTGAGTGATATGTATTTAAAATTTGGAGTTTAGGTGTTTGATTTGTAGTACATAAGAATTGAGTGGTATATGAAAGAAATTGAAGGTTGAGTGTTAGATATGTAATACATAAGAGTTGAGTGATTTTTGTGCAAAAAAAAATAAAATTTAAGTGTTAGATATGTAATACATAAGTTTAGTTGAACCACACATCGTTAGAATTGACTTATGTACATATGTGCTCATAACATACAATCAAGTCGCAACATCCTACTCATGTTGGCTAGTGATTATTACGCCATATAATTACCATTTGATGTGTGCATGACCATGTCATTTCTATTTTTGATGTTGATCATACCAAGTCCACATAATCCAATGGAAAAAAATAATATCTACTTAAAACCTGTAATAGATAAGTTTCAAATATTGTGGAAAATAAGTCTGTTGACTTATGATATTGCTATTAAAAAAATTTCAACATAAAGCTGCCCTTATGTGGATGATTAATGATTTCCAGGCTCACGAGATGCTATCTAGTTAGAGCACTGTAAGAAAATTAGGTTGTCCTTACTGTATGGATCAGTTAAAGACATTCAACTTAAAATATGGAAGAAAAAATTCCATGTTTGATTGACATCGAAGGTTTCTAGCACACGATCACTCATTCAGAAAGAATAAAGATGCATTCATTAAAAATAGAGTAGAAAGATCAAGTCATCCACCGAAAATAATTGGAAAAGATTTATGATACATGATTAATGAAATATCAAGTATCACTGAGACATGAGAACTAATTTCAAATCTTTCTAATTTCAATGTTACACATAATTGAATGAAATATAGAATTTTTCAGGATCTTTCATGCTGGAAGACTAACTTGATTTGATATAATCTCAATGTCATGCATATTGAGAAGAAGTTTTTTAATAATATCTTCAATACTATGATGGATACTAAGAGCAAAACAAAAAATAATGTCAAAACAAGATTGAGTTTGAATGAGTATTGCAATAGAAGGATGATGAAACTGCAAAAGATAAATGCATATAAACTAATAAAGTCCAATACTACCTACTGTCTCACATTAGATCAGCGAAGAACCATAAGTGAATGAATACATTCTTTGAAATTTCCTAGTGGATGTGTCTAACATGAGCCACAACGTTGATTTGGGAACAAAGAAGATATTTGGCATAAAAAATCATAACTGCCACATTTTTTTGTAGTGTTTACCGCCAATGCATTTAGTGCTTTGCCAAATCTAATATTTAATTCATTGATCGAAAAAATTGCACGCTTTAAAGGCTAGGGTACAAGGAATTTTAAAGTTGATTTATTGAGAAATCTTAAAGTGAGCATTCCATCAATATTATTCAAACTCAAGTGAATACTTTCTCCTGATTTCTTTGACTTTATGGAGCACTGTCACACATCCATGCTATGAGACTACACTTGGGGGCCCAACTATGAGTGGTTTGATCATGTTCCTAATTGAGGAACATAGACACGAAACCCATATGATATTACTGAAGTTCAAATGTACATAATATATATAAAAAATTTGATCTATTTATTCTAGCACGTCAAGCTAGTCAAGTTTATTATCTTTGATGCCCTGGTAGAATAAGAGAAAAAATTGATTGAGTCATCATTATAAAGAATAAACATAGAAGAACGATTGAGATACAAACTATTATTGAACACAAAAATGTCAGATTTTCACATTCAACTAGATTCTATTGAAGAAAGGTTTACCCTCTAGGATATCACATAGAGATTTTTCAAATTATGGATAACTCTGATGATGATAAGAACAAAAAAAATTTAAGTTTATCATCGATCAACTCGTCTAATGAAACAGACTAAGAGTGACGTCTTTTTAGATTTTAGTTTCTTCCTAGTTTTATCTCTTTCAAGATTAGCTTTTTATTGTTCATATTTTCTGTTATGTTTGTTCTTGCTTTTACTTCTGATGTTATTTTATTTATTTTCATTCTGCACCTTCGTGCTTTTACTTTTGTCACTTATATTGTATTTTTCTTGGAGCTTTATAGAACATCAAATTGACATCAAGATCCATCATCTTTGAAATCAAGTAGGCGTTGAAGCTGAATTTCTTGGTGAATTTTTTTTTTAAACTTTAGAAATCCATATCATGTCTAACCATTACCCATTCAACACCGCCATAACATTTTTAAAGCCAAGAAAGTTACCCTGTAAGATGCATAAATTATACCCAAGAAACATCAAAAACGTAAAAATCTCTTTATTTGGTATCACATAAATTTATTGTCATTTCTTATTATGGATATGGTTTAAACATGGGTGAAATAGAAGCTTTTTGTAATTATAAGCCGCTATCATCATTTATTACATTAGGTGGTATTACAAAGTTTTTCTGATGATGATGGGTCAACTTATTTCCTAAAGGTATTGGATGAAGCAATTACATAATTGCATGGCATGAGACTCTCATAGTTACAATTTATATGGAATTATAGTTATTTTTTATCAATATGACAACATCAATGAGTTCTTATAGGACAAATTCCATATTTGAAACCTCAAGATTCTACTTCCTATATTTTGGGATGATACAAATTCATGAACCAGTTGTATTGCCCACTCCGTTATGAAATTCTTATTTCCAACGAAAGCATTTCTGCATGTGCTTTTGGAGATAAGTTCTATTAACTATTGGGGGTTTGATTTTATACAAAACTGTGTAAAAAATAATTCTATCTTATTTCAAGAATATTCTAATTTTATGGATTATTTTAAATTTTACTTCAGTATAATTTCAATTAATTGGTAGGATTATCTCTATTCTAAAATAGACGATTGTTTTTTTAATAGTTATTTAGATTTGAATTCAAAATATCTTAATTTTAACTTGAAACCCTATTTTTATGAATAGAAGAAATGACTGCCATTTGGATGATGAATTATGAATTAAGCTTAAAGGAATTCATCACCATTATCACTCCTATTCCACCCCACAATTTCTCTCCAACTTTTAATTCACAATTGAAAACTTTATGCACTAATCACTCTGTCGTTATACATACAACCCAAGACAACCTACCCTGTACGCCTACCACAGGGTTTGAATTCTAATATTTCCTTCTGCGCCTCTCCCTCCTCACAACTATTGCTTTTATAAGAAAACACAAGGTACAAAATTCTCTCATGACCGAATTTCCTATATTTCAAGAAAGAAAAGCAATCAAAAGCAACTTCAACAGGGCAATGGAAGAAATCAGTGTTTTGGAATTATAAATAAGGGTCCACCATCAAATTGGCGTCAGAATCAATCATCATTCCATGTCAATAGCACTCATATTCATAAGTTCAAAGCTTTCTTTCTTTTTTTTTTTTCATTTTTGCATATTGTACAAAAAAAAGTCCAGTTTATTTGCTTAGACCAACCTATAAAATATTCTCTCTTTTTATTTATTTCTTTTTTTTTTGTGCAATTCTAAAGCTAACACAAAAAGATGCATTATGCCGCCACATGAGTATAACAAATATTTAAGCAAATTAGGAGAGAAGCCTCATGGATTTGATGATGATTCCATCACACAAAATCACTTTAAGCATAGAATTATCGAATCAAAATCAAACTGAAGGCACAATATTATCATAATATCAGAAATCTAATGCACATGTGGTATATAGTAGGGATGCATCATGCAATGAAATATTTGAAGTGTAGTAGATGGAAAAATATACCAGAATCTATCAATGCAACAGTCTTTTCAGGAGCAGTACTCATATCAGGCTCAATATGTGCTCCTCTGCACACTTCTTCCAGTTCTAGCCTTCTCTTGAGAACAAGCTCTTTCATTCTACTGGCTTTCAATTTTTTCAGTCTTTCAACCTCAGTTTCTATCTGTAACATTGCAGTGGAGATTCAACAACTAACAATTGTAATATTTTCCAGAATAGATATAAAGGTATTAACCGTTTAACCTGCTTGATGATATCAAAAGACAGGAGACTTGGCTCAGTAATTTCTCCGTACGGTGAATCAAGGATGCGAGTAAATTTCCCAAAATGATGCTTCTCTTTCTCCGATGAATCCATCAATTTCCAGAGTTCAAGCAGTGATCTCAAATTATCCCGCAACTGAGGAAAAGGAGTTGGCTTACAAGAGCAAGGAATTATTTACAGTAAGGAAAAAAATTTTACACACCTTGCAAGTTCGAAACTTTTTTTCTTCCTTCAGTTTTTCGATGGTTTGAAATAAACCATCGAGTGTCCTAGTGCTGATATTTGTACATTCTCCAGAGCTGGTCTCACGTAAACTGGGATGCACCTCAGCCACTATCTTCCTAAATTCTAGACCAAGAACACCACACAAGGAATGCACCTCATTTGTGTAGTCGAGAACTTTTTGGACACGCTCCAACTAGTTGAAGTAGGCAATAAATCATTATTCGTTTGTAAGACATGATCGAGATAAAAAAGTCTTCAAATATCAATAGATGAAGAATGAAAATAACTCTCCCATCTATACAAGAAGGATGCTACACAAATTTTCAGAGGAACCATCGCTGAATAGGCAGATATTTGATCCAAACCAGATATTAGAGAAAAAAAATCAAATTAGTATTCTATTGATTAAAAAAAAAAAAAAAACTATAATACCTGGAATGAGTTGAGGCAATAGAATGAACATAGTTGGCAGCGTTATATCAACAATATCGTCAAAATTACTCCTTATCATATGTAAAAATCATTATGGAAGTGAAGAACAGAATATCATTCGCTTTTGGAACAGTTTATGTTAGATATTCAAAGGATGTTTCATAACAAGTTAAGATGATATCCCATATAAGATTAACTTTGAAAATATACAAAATTGTAATTTTTACTATGATTGCCAGTTTTACCAATTAGCTTATAGCAAAAATTATATTAAAATGATCTGGTGTATGCTTAATGACTAAGGTAGCATATGTGAGAAATAAGAATCATTATAAAAATATTTTAAATATCTAAAGAAATAATGTTACATGAGAAAAGTGTTAAAATGATCCTCCGACTCTTTGCTGGAGTCATTTTAATCCTAGAGTTTATAAAAGAGCCAAATAATCCCCATAACTTTGTAATATGGGCTGAAATGGTCCCCAAAAAGGATTATTTTAGCCTCCATTAAAAAAATCTGAGAACTAAATCAACACTTCTATACACTTTGGGACTACAATAGCCAAATGTAAATAGTCACGGTACTATGTTGACATTTTACTTCGTTTCAATAAGCAGCTCCTCCTATTAGAAAAATAAAAAGTTTGTTTTATACAAATCTAATTAATCCATGTACAAAACATTAGTATAATAATAATAAAAAAATTTTATCATACCAATTAGGAGCAAACATAGTAGTTAAAATCTAAACGTAAGTTTTGAGGTAATTCAACAACTTTATAAAAGAGCACTTGACTAAATAAATAGTTAAATACCTTCTCCTTCTGGAGTGCATGAAGTTGTGTTTGGAATTCATTAAGCTTCCTCATTGAAAGGTCTTGTTCTTCCCAAGCAAAAGTACTACTATGGCCATTCTCTGTTATCTCAGCAGTGATCTTCTCGATCTGTGACTTTATATCAGAAAACTGCTTCAATCTTTCTTCTTTTTTCACTTCAAGAACATCCAATAAAAAGGTAATTGCAGAAAGCTGCTCTTTCAATGATGACAGCCGTTTCTCTGCCTAGAAGTAAGAAGTTGTCGAGGTAATCAATTGCTGCATGATTTACTTCATTGGTGGATAAAAGTAATAATGTTTTCTGTTTTTTTTTTAATATTAGAATAAATGGCATGTTGCTGTTGACAATCCAAAAGTGAAGGTAGGTTAATGATAGAAAGCGGTACTCAGATTTCATGCAAAATACTCAACTCCCAAATGTTCCTTTATGCATATATTGAGTTATTTTGTCCCAAGAAAATGAACTCCGTTTGAAGAGCTTCAGAAGTATTATGTGACAAGAAGATATCATTGAAAGCTAACAAAAAACCTTTATAAAACTGCAATTACACTGAAAATGTCGAGTGAATCTAATTGTTGGATAGGATAAAAAAAATGTTGACAGCTAATATAAGCGTGACAGAAATAAGAAGTGCTAAGATAGGTGTATAGAAAAACCAAGAAAATTAAATTAAATAAAGGTTAGAGCAACAATTATTGAAGACAGATGTTATGTAGTTAAGATAAGTATAATAAATGGTAAAAAATGCACACTTACTAGACTAACAGATAAAATCCATCGTGGACAATTAAATTTGTGGGCACCGAAATCTATGGGCTCCAAAAATTTACGGCCGCACCTCAAGAGACTCTCTGCAATTTGTTTTTATTTTGTTTTGAGAGAGCTTTGGAGGCTCGAATTTTCAGAAGGCAAATTTAACTGTAGATAAGACACTACCTAAAGATTTCGCCCTCATGTTGCAATGACTTTTTGATCTGAGGCTAAAAAGATGCCTGAGGAGTGGAGGAAGAGTATTTTGATCCCCATTTTTAAGAATAAAGGGGATGCACAAGAGTGTGCAAATTATAGAGGAATTAAGTTGATGTGTCATACTTTAAAATTATGGGAGAGGGTAATTGAACATAGGTTAAGATGCATCACGAAAATTTCTCATAATCAATTTGGATTTATGCCTGGCAGGTCTACTATGGAAGCTATACATTTATTGAGAGGTTTGATGGAGAAGTTCAGAGATAATAAGGAGAATCTACATTTGATTTTTATTGATTTAGAAAAAGCTTACGATAAGGTTCCAAGAGATATCCTTTGGAGAGTTCACGAGAAGAAATGTGTTGATATGACTTATATTCAAGTCATTAAAGATATGTATACTAGAGCTGTTACTTGTGTTCAAACTGAAGGAGGATTGACAAAATATTTTCCTATTTCTGTTGGATTACATCAGGGATCGGCTTTAAGCCTATATCTTTTTGCTTTAGTTAGGGATGGTCTTACTGGACATCTACAGGAGGATGCATCTTGGTGTATGTTTTTTGCTGATGATATC